CCAACTCCCCCATGCTGAATGGAAGGCAATTCTTTGACCTTCACCGAAATCCACTCATTCACACATATAGAACTGAAATTACAAATGCAGTCTCCCTCAGAGCAGTGGCTGTCATTATTTATCCCCCTGATCAAGGATATTTCCACTGTCCTTTGCAGCCTAGTGGTGTTGCTCTGTTCATTAGAAATCTGCAGGGATGTCAAGTGGTAACAGATGTGCCCTTTAGACAATTAAAGTTGAATATAGCATTTTGACATCAGGCAATTGCAATTGAAAACAGGCATTTTTTCATACTTGATGGAGAACACATTTGTTTTGGATGTATGCATGAACTGTTGAAGTTGCAAACAATTGTTTTTCACTCTAGATGCAGAGTACAATATGTTTATTTGTCATATGCATGAACTGGGAATGGGTAACAGAAAGGAGCACAGAACTCTGAGACTACACAGAGTAGTCGTTATGAAGCCCACTGGAATTTTTGCTTTTACTCTGGAATAAAACCAATCAAGCCTGCTGATTTGGATTGAGACCTCCATGTACAGGCATGGAAAATTAATCCTACCTCTTCAGCTATTTGCTTGCAATTGTCTGTCTACCCATACCAATGGAACCTTTTGACTCACACTAAATTCCTGGAACCAGATTAGCAGCTGTGTCCAGGAAAGGAATTTCTTTCTCCTTTCCTGCTGTGCTGTGGTCCCATGTAAACAGGCAGCAGCACCGTTATCAGGACCAGCAATTATTCCAGAAATGATTATGAAAGTTGATGTGTTGCCCAAAATTCTTTCAACTATATGTGTGTGTTCACATGTGTGTGACTGGGGGAAACCTGTGGATTTTGAAGTCTTTTTTTATGGGCCTACACAGCTATTCTTGATTTCATCCAATCTTATCTAATTTGCCAACTGCACTCTTCCTTCAGATGTCAGAATCAAAGCAATATTTCCTTCCCTCATCACTTTCACAATGTTCTGTTGCAGTGCTCTCTACATTGCACTGTCATTGAAGGCAGAATGGAAATGTCAGGTGGCAGAATCTCCTGCTTTTATTAAAGCTAGCTGAGATACACAAGAGAGTTCCCAAGATGAATTAATCAAGGCCAAATTCATAATGACCTGCCCTACTTTTCTCATTCCCTGCAACTACTCCTTTTCTTGGATTTGCAACTCTTGCTGTCTTCAGTGCACTTGATCTGCTGGAGGAAAGGTGGCCTCAGGGGTTTTGGGCACAGTTTGCGTTAGTGGATGCCAAAAGCTTTCCAATGGCCTCCTTCTGCTAATCCCCAGCTTCAGTTCAGTCCATCAACCTGCTCAAAGAGAAAGTGGGAGGCTGCCAAGCTGTCCTTCACTATCTCTGTGGATCTAAGAATGCTGCTGAATATGTTGCTACTGTCCAGACTGCAAGGGAGTGGCCATCATCAAATGCTTTTGTTGTTTTCATGGCTGATTCAATAGCCCATTATTTTTTTCCCAGCAAGTTCAGTTGCTGTCCAAAATCAGGAGCCAATGACAGGTACTTTCCCCATCATTCTGCAGAAAAAGACCACAGTAGCCTTTGAGAGAGGAAGTTCCTGTGGGAAATTCCTTTTGGCTCTGGCCTCTTGGCAGAGCAGCAGAGCAGCAGAGGCACAGGCTGGTAGAGAGTGCTGAGTGGCCAGGGGACTGGCGAAGGCAAGGTAGGAGCTGGGCAGGGGAGCAGAGAGCCAGGAGCAGCAGAGAGGAAGGGCATCGTCCCTTGTCTGCGTCCCTTGGCTGTGGCCTAGGCTGTCTGGAGACTCCCTTCCCTGAGACACAGAGGGTTGATTGTTTGTTTGTTTGTTTTGGTTTGTTTGTGCTGTGCTTTGGTTTGCTTTTCTTCCAATTTAAGTTTATTTTATCCTTGTGTGTGTGTGTGAGAGAGAGAGAGTGGGTTTTTGTCTGGGAGAACTGGGCGAGTGAGAGGAACTTCAGGAGAAACAAGGCAGGGGACCAAGGTAAGGTCTCGGAAGGGATACCGATGGCAGTCACGGGTGTTGCTGTCCACTGCGACAGTTGCAACATGTTCTCCCTTCTCCCCCAGGAGAGGCAGGGATACACTTGCCCTCGGTGCAAGCTGGTGACCCTGCTAGAGGAGGCGGAGAGCTTCCTGAGGGCCAAGAATGCTCTCCAGGCCCCTTGGGAGCAGCCCCCCTCTGGACAGAGGGTTGAGGGATAGGCCACGGGAGGAGCAGCCATGGAGTCATGGAGGCATGTCCCCCACAGGAGGAGGCCAGCACGGCCTCCTCCTTCTCCTGGCACCAATCTGGACCTGGGAAACAGGTTCTGTCCACTTGGGGAGACTGGGGTTGATGAGGCCTTGGGGGACCAGCAGGACCCCCAGCCTGGGATGTCAGGCGGCAAGGGGGCTGCTGCAGGAGAGGTGAGGGGCAGGGCACGGCTGCCCATGAGCACCGGGAAGGTACAGCGGCGGGTGATTGTTTTTGGGACTCCCTGCTGAGGGGTATTGAGGAGGCAGTGTGCCGCCCCAACCTGGAGACAAGGGAGGTTTGCTGCCTGCCGGGCACACGCATCCAGCATGTGAAGGACAGAGTGGAGCGTCTTGTTCGCTTCCGGGGTCACCAGCCGCTCCTGCTGATCCATATGGGCACAAACGATAACATTTGGAGGAGCCTCAGCATTCATCCTGCCAACTTTCACTCTTTGAAATGATTCATTTGAGGACACAATCCAATTGATCACATTGAACCCAGTGACTAACTCTCCATTTTCGTTAAAAGAAACCTTGTCCCCAGCAGTGTTGTTAAATGAATTAAGCTTCAGAAAATTATGGATCTGGAATGAAAAGGAAAGAGATTAGAAACACTGTGAAAGTAATCATGCAGACAGAGGGAGAGAAATACTTGCACTGAATGACTGCCATTCTCATCATTATTTTCCTAGATTCTCTTATGCTTAGCGGACTGGCTTTCAGCTCTGATACCTCTCTCATTCAAAGGTTACATTGAATTGCTTCAGAAGTTTGAGTCAGTTTTTTGAGTCCTTCTTGAAAAGTATTTCATGTAGTAGAGCCTAATTTAAGTATTCTTGTACACAGAGATGTAGTCTAGGATCTTGCTGTTTCTGTAAAAAGACACATGGCCAGTCATCTAGTTCAAATAAGAAACACATGAGCTTCCCTACTTTATATCCATTTTGACCTTTTTTTTTTAACTCTAGAAAGCTGTGATTCTCCCAACCTGAGGCAATTCAGCCAACTACCTGCCACTGTAGATGGCTCTGAGAGATCAGTCTCCCTCTGATCACCACTGCTCTGCTCTTCACACCAAATGAAGACATGGCATGCAAGGCATGGGCCACCGCATGGACAGCATTGTAGACATTGTAGCTGTGGCCAGTCAAACGCATTTCAAATATTGACCCAGGAAGATGCTCCAGCTTCTCATCCCCAGTGCACTTATTCCCATTTAAATTGCCCAGAAATGGATCAGGAAATTCACAGCTGAAAGCATATTGCCAGAACAACCTAATAATACCATCTCCTTTTGGACTGGAAGGGTTTTTTGCATTAAGGAATTTTTCCAATCCTGGGACATCATTGGATTGAATTCTGAAAGACAGAGCTCCATGCAAAAAGTCTGTGTTCCAATTTCTTTGATGGGCAAATGATGTGAGCTCCACCTGAGATGTCGCAATAATAACTTTACCAATTGGTGTATTTATTTCATGTTCTCGTTCTGAAAGTTATGGTAACCATCTAAAAAAGGCCATGGAATAAGATTCTCCATTGGCCACCAATATGTTGGCTGTGCTGTCCACGATATTATCACGTATTTTTGCACCCTTCTCCAAAAGGTTTTTCAAATCTCTGCCAAGAGCAAGTTCAGGGATTTTTTCAATGAAAGCAAAGCAAACACCACTGCCGGAAAATAGTGGGACCACCATCTGGAGGAATCTCTCCCCATTGTCATTATCTGTAACAACTGTCCCAATCCATGTCCAGCAAAGAGAGGATCCCTGCATACTGAAGGGACTCCCTTGGAGTCATGTTGTAGAAGGACAGGCCTGGGGTTTTATCATTCATCACTGGTGCAGAGCCATATATGAACTAAGGAGATAGAAGAAGGCATGGGAGAAGCAGCAAATACTACAGAAATTCTTCTGACAGCTTTAATCTTTTCAGAACGTTTGCACATACAACCTCAGAAAACTTTTCAACAATAACACATTACAGGGACCAGTATTGTGTTATGACACATGTGTGCACCTCCAATGGTGCCTGAAATGGGATGTCTAATATGGCACCATTCAGTGCAAAATCTGCATGTGTCATAATTTCCCCTTGTACACAAAAGAGCAACTATTACAATGTGCCAATGCCAAAGAAGTCCAGTATAAACAATTAGCAGATCTCAATAATTATTTATTGTGGAGCCATTGCATTATCCAAGAGACACACAAAATAAACTTTTGTACTGATTGAGGTTCAGCTTAAGATCTGGAGACAAGACAGGAAGATATCAAAAGTGTGATCCACTCATGCATATCCTTTTTCTGAAATTTCAAAATATGTCCAAGGATCCAAAACACTTTGGTACCCACTGCTGATGGTGAATGCAGAGCGTTGTGGAGAGTAAGAAATGGAGGGTTCTATCCTTCATTGCTCTGTCTGGGGAGCAAGCAAAATGAAAAGTGTCAGTGACATTAAAAAATGGATCAGGATGTTCGTGTGAATGTACTTAGAGCTTCTGCCCAGGTCCTCCTGACTCCGATTCATTTCCACATAAAGAAATGGAGACCCAACAGAATTTCCCCTCTCCTCATGTTGTTATTTCCCGTTCTATGTACTTCCTCATCCTAGGGAAAGAGAGAATACGATTGCTTCCATTGTACAAATCTTCATCTCTAAACCACAAACACACCATTTAAAAAAACAAAGTGAATGTGAAGACAGTGTTACACTCCCCATATTCACGTAGAGATTGTTCCCCACCTGTGGAATCTTATAAATATCCAAGAGAGTTGTAACATGAAGGGACGTCTGGGTGTCCTGTCCCCCAATGACTGCTGTCAAGTGTTTCTGGATGCCACATTGGTAATTAGGGACTAACCTCTCTGCTGCACAGATCAGCCGCAAGATGGCCTGATATGTCCACTTGGCCGTGAAATAGCTGTCATATATGCAAAAGCCCAAGGTGTGGTTTGGCAGGATGTGTGGGTTGTTGTTGATCTCCTGCACTGCAAATGTCAAGGCCAGGATATGCTGGTAATTCTTGGGCAAGAAAGTCATCTCCTGCATTAGAACATTCACCACACAGTATTTTTTAAAACTCTCACACTGCCTTCTGCTCCACCACTATCATTACCTTGTGCTCATCTCTGACTTGCCTGGGCCTAGAGAAAGCTGTCAGTCAGGCAATATTGATCATCATCTTCCAAACATACCATTGCCTGGACTTCCACATGCCAAAGCATGTGGAATTAGTGTGATCACATTTCAGTCTACTTATCTAAAAATCATCAGATTCCAATAAAGCTCCAACCCAAGTGAAGTTGTCAGTGCCACCACCCTACTTCCCCATGGGAGGGGCCCACCAATGTGCTAAGGAAGAGGCTTCTGAGAATCTTGTGCAAGGCATGAGGCACAGGGCTGGAGGAATGCCCTCCATTGTATCTAGAGAAACACATTTGCCATTGGCATGTATGAAATTAGGATACACATTTGTCTGATCATATTTAAGTTGCAGTTAGGAGGAACATATTTTTGGTATATTAAAACATTTGAAATGATTGAGATATGCCCAAGCACAGAGTACAGGGTACACCACACTGAATGGAATCCCTTTCCACTGAAGAACAGACAAATTCATTCCAAATCTAGTGGAACGCCAGTGGAGAAGCAGTGTGTTGTAGTGGTTAGGAGCATGGGACTAGGAATCAGATGACCTGGGTACTAGTCCCCACTCAGCCATGGAGCCAACTGGGTGACTTTGGGCCAGTCACAGACTCTCAGCCAAACCTACCTCACAGGGTTGGTTTTGTGGGGATAAGATGGAGGAGGAGATGTAAGCTGCCTTGAGCCCTTTGTAGGAAAAAGGCAGGATATAAATCCAAAAATGAATAAATAAATAAATCAAAAAGAACATTTGTCTTGGGATGGATCCTATATCAGCTTTCAATAAAAGCAAGTAACGTGCATGACAGGGAGGGTTTCACTAATGGGACAATCTCCTCAGCAGATTTCTGGGTTTCTACTCTGTCCATCCTTCCACATTTTATCACATTCAGCAGGGTGTCTGGAGGGGCTGCTTTGGGAAGGAAGGGGAGAGGAAGTCTACTTCCCTAAAAGAGTTGATCGAGTCCCCTGAATTTTGCATTATTCAGTTTCCATAAGAGTAGGCAGAAGAAAGGGAGAGAGGTTAATGAACAGGGAGAACAGGGAATAAGAGAGACCTAAAAGGAAAAGAAGACATCCTGCAGAAACTTGTGTAATACAGAAAATATAGAAAATAGCTGAAAATACAGGGTCACCACAGAGGTGCCAGGAAAAACTAAAACAATTGTGAAGAAGCTTAAAATCATAGCAAAATTCATCTCTCTGGCTATGCAAATAGAGTTTCCACAACCATTTAATAATATGAAATACCTCTGCTGCCCTGGCCATTTTTCACAGGCTGCATCTGAAACAAGTTCTGGTGAAAATCAGATAAACAAACAAACTGGATGCAAGAAAAAATATTAACTCCTTACATGAGTTCATCCAGCATTGCTGGTGGGGGTCCTCCAGTGAAGGTTAATGGATCAGGAATGATGAAGGACAGAGAAGCAATGGCACCAATCATCAGCTCACCCAACTGTGGATACTGATGAAGGGGAAGGTGTGGCTCAAGGTTCTTGCATCACCCCTGTTTCCTGTTTGGAGAAGTAAGCTTAGCAACACTCCTCGAAAATCCCCCATGCTGAGGAGAAGGACAAAACTTCCTCTTCCTGCAAATCCACTCATTCCCATGTAGAGCACTGAGATCACAAATGCAGGCTTCCTCAGAGCAGTGGTTGTCATTAATTTATGTCTATGGTCAAGGATCGCTGTGTATATTGCCACCATCCTTCACAGCCTAGTAGTGTTGCTTTGTTCACCTTAAATCTGTGGGAGTGTTGAGTAGTAACAGATCTGCCCTTTAGACAATTAAAGGAGAATATAGTAATTGGACATCAGGACAGTGAAGTTGAAGACACGTGTTGTTTTTCACACTTGATGGAGAGCATAATAGTCATATTAGTTTTATGCATGAATTGGAAAGGAATCATCAGCAAGGAGCACAGACCTATGAGGCTACACAGAGCAGGAATTATGAATAACACTGGTGATTATGTTTATACCCTCAGTTTGGACCACAGTGTTTAATCAGGAATGATTAATGCTTCCTCTGCAGCTCTTTGCTTTGCAATATTCTCCCTACCACTGCCAAAGGAATCTTTCTATTCACACTGAACTGTTTATGGGAGGGGAATTTCTTTCTCCTTCTCTGGCTGTACTGTGTTCCGAGGATAAACGTGGGTAGATCCCATTAATAGGACAAACACAGATTCCAGAATTTATTATGCAAGAATTGTTGAAAACAGCAGGTCGACATTAGAATGAGAACAGAGGAGTTGAAGTGGGGTGGGCAGGGCAGGGGCAGACACAGAAAATGCTGTCAGAGCAAACCAAGCAGTGATGTATGTGTGGTCAAGCAGACATGGGTAATGAAGAATGGATTACTAGGTTTCAGTAAAAATGACTCTGAAATCCACTTCTTACCCACCCAAACAGAGCCCAGGCCCAACCAACCATTTTCAGTCTAACTCGTAATTTGGCTGAAAAAATTAACAATAGAATCAAAAGGATTTTTTAAATCTAACACACATTTAGAGGATTAACACTCCCAAAATATGGCAGTTTTGTCTTTTCTTTCTCCCCTGCCCCTTTCCAAGATCTTCCAAGTATATTGTTCATGGTCTATTCTTTGCTCTATTTTTTTCCAGTGAATTAGTATTTACATTAAGATAGACATTTTGGAAGGATTTGCTCTACTGTAATTTCAGAATCTGAATAGAAATTGAACTTCTGAATTGTTATATGATTATGGAGCCAAGGAAGATACAATGGCATTAGAGATTTTCAGGGACACGATGAAGAAGGGTGAAAGCTGTAAGGAAGGCAGTGCATGACACCCCACAGATTGAGTGGAAAGAATTGACACTACTAGTTTCGCAACAAAGGAGAAGTAAGAATATTGAGTGAAAGGTCAGAACAGAAAGCCAAAAGGAACATACTGTCAATAAATATTAATGGTCTCCTCTAAACATACCAAAATTTTGAACCCTATAAACAAGGAAAAAGCAGGCATAATATGTATTCAAGAAGCCCATATAATGCACAACTTTGCTCACAGTTTAGATTGCAAAAATTTGGCAGATAATGTGAAGCCCCAGCTGATATATAAAAGATTGGTATTGTGATTTATGTTGGCAATCAAAGTCTGAACTTCATAGAGAAATTGAAGGGCTCATGTGGCAAGATATTCAAATGGATAGGAACATGTTCTGGCAACAATATATGCCCCAAATGATGCAAAAGAGAAATGTTCTGATTTTTTTTCAATCACTGATAGACTGTCAGGAAGGTGAAATGTTGACCATCACCCACTAGAAATTATCTGGCAAGATGAGCAACTGGGAGCTAGAAGATGGAGACTGAATGACAACCTGGTACTAAAAGATGATGCATTGAAGAAATGTGAGAGAGAGTTTGAGAGAGATACATGATCACTTTGAACTGTTTTTTGAAATCCTGTATGAAAAAATCTCAATCTCAGAAGATGAAATCAAGTAGTATGGAAGTCCATATTGATAAATTCAAGTCAGACCAAAAAGGAATGGTTAATGGCCTCATTATCATAAGAGATTTCACAAGCAATTAAAAGGCTAAGAAAAGAGAAAGCACGTGAATCAGATGCTCTCTCTGCAATGTATTTAGAGGAAAAATGACAGCTACCAGTACAAAACGTAATGAATGAAATTAACAATGATTACAGAAAAAAGATTATGTAACTTTTTAATATATAAAAACAATGAATGAAATGAAAGATGAGAGTTCATTACCTACATCATAGCAAGAACGTCATGTATCATTGATGCACAAAGAAGGCAATGATCCTGCCCTGCCATGCATGGCTCTAAAGACCAATTTCATTCTTGAATGTGGATTATACATTTTTGACTTTGATAATGGCTGAATGACTATGAAGATTTCCAGAAAAACAGTTCCATACATGTGAAACTGGATTTATCCCGGAGAAATTGAAAGATAATGTCTGCTTGTGATAAAGGCTATTTAATTTGTTAAGAAGAAAAAAAGCAGACTTCCGGTAATGGCGTAGAGACAAGGCAGACGTGATTAACGAAGCTTTGTTATCACGCTGGTAAATGTCCAGTGGTGGGCCGTGAGCCCAATCTAAGCCCTGTTGGGGCAGAAGATAAGTGCTTGGGAAATCCCCTAGGCGGTGTGGGACGGGAATTCCATGCCTATGGGGGTAGCATTTTCAGCTGGACAACACAGGGAGGATATCAGCCTCCCATCAGTCTCCAACATGCCAGAAGATTAGTTTAGGAATTTATTTGCCGTTGGAATTACTGGGACACATTTATTTTCTTTTTGTTTGTTTTTTACATTATTACCTGTGGGAACGCTGGGTTTTTTTGTTTTGTTTTGTTTTGTTTTTTGCTAACTGATATAAGGAAAAAGAAAAGGAAAGCCCTCCTTTCACACAACTGCAAGCGGCAACTGAGATGAAGGAGAGAGATGGGGCTGTTTGTAAGTAAAGAAAAGGCTTTCTTTTTCTAATCTAATCTCTCCAGGGTGAAAAATTAAAAAAACAAGCAATTAAGGTGGAATTGATTGATAGAAAATCTTTCTTTATACTGGATTCCTGCCAAGGATATCTGGATATCTGCCAAGAAACTTGTATTATGTGGCGTTTTCCTCTATTTTATGATCATTGTTGGGTGAGCATTGCTTTCTTTTCTTAGAAGACTATTTGTGGAAAAGCTGTACTTGTTACTAATTGGTCTAAGAACAAAGATAGTAAGTCCCTTTGAGGGAGGGAGGAAGCTTCCCCCCCTCCCCACGGCAATGTAACGTTACGGGGAGAGGATTTAAGGCTTGTGTAAAAGCTGAAATCGTGTCTTTTAAACCTGCTCAAGGGTGAAAACTAATGTAACAATTATATACCAGAATATAACTTGTTGAAAGTGGCTTTTTGTGTTCTTGGCCATCTATTCACTTTCTGGGACTTCTGCCAAAAATTAAAAAAAAATGGATGACTGCCAAAATAAATTCCTGACAGGGTAATTAGAGAAGACTGTGGTCTGCTGACACCCAGTGGACATTGGAATTATTGCATGCTCCTTCCCCCCCCCAATGATTTTCTGCTGACACCCGGTGGATATTGGAATTACTGCAAGCTCTTTTTTTTTCTTTTTCTTTTTTCTCCCCCTTTTCCCCTTTAGTTCTTCTTCCTTTCAATTTCACCTCTCTTTTCTATTTTTTTTCTCTTTTTTGGTGAATAACATTCATCATGAGGAGAACATAGACCTCCTCCTCAGTTCCCTGTTCAGTGACTCAGAGCCCAACTCACCAACCTAAGATAGAAGAGATGGCAAAAAGCTTAAGGGAACTGCAAACAACAACTTTGGTGGTACAGATGGCCTTTACAGCTTCGCAAGCATCCCAAGAGAGGATGCAAGCTTCTCAAAAAGCAATGGTAACATGGCCGGAGAGCATATCAAGTGAACAGAAAGAGCGATGGGATAAATTGGATAACTCTGTTAAGGAGATAACAACTCAGCTTTCTGATGTTCGACTCAAAGCTGAACAGAATATACAAAAAATACAGCAAACACAGGAAAAGCTAGAGATGGTAGATAAAGAAACACAGTTAATCAAACAAACATGTCAGTCAACATGGGATGCCGTGACTGTAC